AATGGGGTGCAGACACTGTCGAGCCCCGGGCGGGCACCCAGACCCGATGTCACTGCCAACTCAGCCCAGGCCAACGTGCTGAAAATGCTGCAGGCGGCCAAAGAGATGGTGCAAACAGCCAGCGTGGGAGGCTCGCTGGAGCAGGCCACCCGCACCATTGAGGACTGGAGCAACCACAGCGAGCGCCTCCAGACCACCTTCTCCCTGAGGACACCCCAGCTCGTGGTGCAGAACAGCACCGGCGCACACCGGGGGCCCCCCTCCAGCCCGCACCCCGCCGAGAGGCTGGGCAGAGCCTACGCTCCCAAGGGTGCTCCCCTGGGGCTGCCGCTGCCCCAGCCCATCCCTGTGGACTCCCGTCTGCACGGGGAGGAGAACTGGAGAGGGGAAAACGATCACCCCCGCCTGCTACACCCCCTCAAGTTTCGAGGTGGCTGTGTAGGGGATGAAGCCCTCACAAATTTCCCCCACCTCCTGGTGAAGACTTCTCCAGGAGGGGATTACGGGGAACAGATGCTGGTGGGGAACCATATCGGGGCTCCCCTACCGCCCCCCACATCCCCCAGGGACCTCCCACCACCGGACATCTACAGGGAGCACAAGCGGCCGTCGGGACGGGGGGAGCGGCTGCAAAACAACCCCCTGCTCCAGAGGGACGGGACGCACGGGGGCTCAGGGACCCTGCCCCGGCTGCTCTCGGCAGCGGAGAAGAAGCGAGAGGCGGGCAGCGCCTTTCTGCCTCCATCCTGCTCTCGCGGAGCCTTCCCCAAAGTCACCAGGACTTGCAGAGCCAGGGGCGAGCCGGCGCGGCCGGAGGCGGCGGTGATGGAGCGGGAGAAGCTGAGCCGATGGGCGAACTCGGCCAGGGTGCCCGGGGAGCGCGGCGACAAGCGGCGTCCCGCGGGGCTGCGGCGCTGCGGGGCCGCTCGCCAGCCCGCCCGCTCCGACGTGCCCGACCTCTTTCCCGAAGCCGAGCCCGGGTACGGCTGCGGCTCCCGTTGCCCACAGGCCGCTGGCCGGCTGCCACCGCACTCGCCCGTGACCAGGCTGCCATCCTACCGGGAGGCTTGCCGGCAAAACCCCCGTGCCACCGCCACCGTGCCGGCGTGCGCTTCCCACGCCTGCATGAACTCCTACGCCAACCTGCCCCTCTACGCCAGACACCTCTGGCGGGGGTCCCCGCCGCCCCGGGGGCACCCCGGGGTGCACCGCTGTGACCGGGGATCCGGGCGCTGGGACAGCGCCTGCAGAGACTGTGGGAGACGCGGGGAGCTGGCCTTGCTGCGGGCGGTGGGGGCGGAGAGGAGGGACCCGCTGGTGGCCCGCGGGCTGGCGAGTCCCTGCGCCGGCGGGTCCTGGCGGCGGGTCTCCAGCCTGGAGTCGGAGGTGTGATGGGGGGACAGGGGAGTGTCCGCACCCCTCTGCCTGCCCTTTGCCCGGGTGTCCCCACGGGCCAGCCAGCGGCTCCCGGCCGGGCTCCGGCCTGCCGGGGTCCTGCTCCGCCGGCAGCGGGATGCTCCAAGCGGTTCGGCGGGTCCCGGTGAGCTCTTTGGGGGAATCAGAGTCAGTCTGGGGGAGTCAGCCTGGCAAGGGCTGGTACATGCTGAGTCGAGCTCTCCCTACAGGCGGGGCTGGCATCGGGGACGCCAAACGCACTGCCGCCGTTTCGCCGTCACGTTTTGGTTTCATTCAAAGGACTCGAAACGCCATTTCCAGGTCATTAAAAAGACATTTTCAGCTGCCTGGGGACCCTTCTTCCATCCTCCGGGGCTGCCCTTGGCATCATGGATTCCCATGAATATTCATGGTCCTGTGCACCCCCTCCCCGTCCGTGTCCCGTTACTGCTGAGCCGCGGCACAGGCTCGTCCCAGCGGCAAAGGAAAGCTGGAAAAGGAAAATGGCAACGGCTCCGAGGGTTTAATTGGGAGCCGTGAGCCTGTGCAGGGGCTGGAGCGAGCTCCGGAGCCGGGGTTCATGCCCCCTGCTCAGGCTTTGGGGTGTTGGGCACTGATGGTCCTGGGCTCGGGTCAGTGAGTGATGCTGTCACGGCTGCAAACGGCAGCCTGGCAGGGATCTCCAGCTCGGCACAGCAGCCCTGGGAAGGTGTGCTGTGGGGAATGAGAAAGGAAAAAATTCCTCCCACCTTCCCAGGCTGATGGAGCCATAAATCAGGTGTGATAGATGAGCCGGGTTTAATTCTTCTCTTCGTGTACGTCTGACACAGCCCTTTCCCTGCCGGGCTGGGGTGAGAGCAGAGGCGGCCGCGACTCACAGCAGCCCCAGGCAGGGGAGAGGGTCTTTGGGAAATGCAATTGGGGCTCCAGGGCTGTGCCGGGCCGTCCCAGCCCCATCCCAGAACAGCAGCACCAGGACTACAGAACTGCCCGTGACTGGCTGGCAGGCTGTCCCAGGGAGATGCCAACCCTCAGCCCCCCTTCTCAGCTGGTTTGGCATCGCCTTCCTCCATGAACGTCTCCCCGGGAAGCTGCTCTAGAGCTCCTTTTAAAAATTTATTTTATGGTTTTGTTCTCTATTAAAATATAGTTGTTGGGGGTTTCTGGCAGCCATCGAACAGCCGGGACCGGTAACAGCGAGGGGACGATGGCAGGGACTGCTCCGGGACATCCAGTCTTGCCCAGGGACAGCTGCAAAACCCCGAGGAGGTCTAGAAGGGCCCGGCCACGTGTGGTCCAGGCTCAAAAGCATTGGCAAATTGGCTGTCCATCCATCTGTCCATCAATGCATCCACCCATCTGTCTGGGGTTAAATTCAGCCAGTCCCCCCCATCCCCCAGCCTGGCTGCCATCACACACTGGTGCCGGCGCTTTAATTCCCTTTACTTATTTATCATCGCAATTGTCTCTTAATGGCTTTGGCAGCCCCTCCAAGTCTCCTGGTGAGGGTGGGAGGTGCTGGTGTATAAATAAAAGCCATAAATAAATAAATCCGATTGAAGAGGAGAGTATTAATCCAGGCTGCCACAGGTGATGGAACCCGTTCACCTGGGGCAGCTCTTCCCAGCAGAGTGCCCCAGATGCCTCCTGGAGTGACAGGCTGGTCCCCAAGAAGCTTCAGTGTGGCCTTAGGAACTTTCCCTCAAATTGTGGGTCTCTGGCTTCAGGAAGCCACCATACACAGCTGCAGTCAAACCTGAGCTGAGGTTGGGGTTGTGACAGCAAAGGGGAGCAGAAAAGTGAAAAAAAAAGTACTAAAAATCCCCAACCCACGTTTTCAATTAATTAGTGATGTCCCTGGTGACTCAGCAGAGGCCAAATGGAGCTGTTTCATGTTTTACATAAGGGCTTTGCTGCAGGAGGCTGAGGACAGCAAGGGACAGAGCAAACGGGGTGCACTGGGTGCTCCCAGGGGAGGTGGTCCCAGAGTTGGGTGTCAGTACCCAGTGTAAGGCCAGGGCTATTGTGGGTGCCTCATGTGAATGCCCAGGACCCTGGCCACCATGGTGGCATTTACATAATCATCTTTACATGCCCATTGGGATGAAAAAGCACAGTCTTTCTCCCATTCCTGGTGCCAGGCACTGGGCACTGGTGGGAAAGGAAATGTTTGGGGCATGACTAGTCCAGTGCAGGTGGGATCTCTGACCCTCAAGGACTAAGGAAGAACTGAGCTGCTTCTGCAGCATTTCCCTGCTCATGACTATACCAGGGACAAACCTTCAGGGAAGCAGCAGTCTGGAAGCACCCTCTGGCTAGGCTTTCCAAAGAGGGGCTGGGTAATTTAGTGTTTAACAGACGTTGAGGGATATTATTTCTTTTTGGTGAAATTGTCTAATCAATCACTTTTTAATTCAGCCTGCTCTGGCACCTGGGACACCCCAGGAGGCTGTGGGCTGCTATGCAGAGAGAAATAAGGCTGGATCACTGCTGGGCACTCTCCTCTGGGGCTCAGCCCCACTGCAGGGGGCAGGCAGTGCCTCCCTAAACCCACCCCCTGCCTCTGCCAGCTCTGACATCTCCATAGCAGGTCCTATTTTCATTACCCCATTGCTCAGCATCATAAGACCCATCCTGATGAGGAGGAGGGGAACAAAGCAGGCCAGCACAGATCAGCCACTGGGAAGGGGTTCCAATGGCAAGGACACGCTGGTGCTGCTTTGAGGAGGCGGTGACTCAGGTTAGAGCAGGGGGAACTGGTTAAATCACAAACCAGTGACACATACGGGGCCAAGAAGGTGCTGGGGACAGCTGCCATGCCTGTGCCCAAGGATGCCTGAGGGAGCAGCAGGTGTACTCACCTCCTGGTTCCTGCCTCCTGCCAAGGCAAAGCCATGGCACAAAACCTTCCCCAGTGGAGACTCTGCAGCAGGTGCCCTTCCCTGAGCCAGTGACAGCTCCTGGGTTGCCCAAATCCATCCAGGGGAAAGGCTGGTGAGCACTTTTCCCAAACCTTCAAACAACTGAATCCCCTCAGAGACACACAGCTCCTTGATGGTGGTGAAGTTTTGCCTAAAGCTTCTTCTCAGGTTCAAAGTTTTTCTTTCCCTGACCATTGCTCTTCCAAGTGCTGCACTAGACTGAATTCCTCCCCGATTGCCAGTTTGGCCTCAGATTTACAGCCCAAGCCCCAAAATCTGCCGCTGCTTGTGAGGTCCTTCGAGAGAATAACAGCAGAAAGTGTTTATTTCCATCATAAAGATCTGCTTTAATATTTTAACATAAATCAAGCTGCGCTTTATGGTGATAATAAATTTGCTGGCAGAAACTCCTTTGCAGCCTGAGGCAGCAGAGAAATTCAATTTGTTTGGCTTTAAGTGTAAGGAGCCGTAATTGAGAAGGGAAAAGTACAGATGTTTTAATTGAGTTTGCAGCTAGCACCCAGAGTTACAGTAGGCTAATAGACAAGAGGTGAGGGTCTCCATTAGCCTCTCCACTTGCCATTTCTCCTTGACCTGCAGCCCCATCCGTCATGGCCATCCCCTCCAGGAATAGCTGCTCCGTGCCTAAGCACGAGGAAGAAAGGGATGGAAAAAGAAGTCAGATCAAACCAGATGTATAATGTACATTTTATTGGTTTTAATCCCATTTTTTTAAAACTAATTACAGTCAGGACAAAGCATCATGTGTGAATCTGCAATAACGAATTGTTAGTGCTGATAATGGCCAAATAAAAATAGACTTATTCGTGATGAGTGAGAGAGCTTGTGCCCTGCACCACGGGGTCACCCAGCATCCCCTCAGCCAGTGCTGGCTGCACTGAACCATCCCCTTCCTGCTTTCTCAAGTAATTTTTAAGGCATTGCTATGTCATGTTTTATATGAAAAATGTTCTCTGCTGTAGAGCTTCTTTCTGTTAATCACCCCAATTCTTCGGATATATTTGTTTTGCTGCTGTGCAAGGACAGCAGGTGTCTGGGAATTCATGGTTATTTATTTGAGAAGAACTCATGCTCCTTGGGGAGCACAGTCCTTCCCGGTAAGGTACCACGGCAAAGGCAGGGGCTGGAACACAAGCCCTCAGCATCCCATTGCATCCAAAACCTAGATCCAAGCAGGTCTTGGAGGAGCAGCCCCTCAGAAGTCACTGTCAGGCATTGTTGAGGGGGAGAGGGGAACACACAGGCCAGGGAAAAGAAGGCACATCTTTAAATGCAAGAGATGGTAGGAAAGAGGGTGCCAGGCTGGGTTCCCTCCCTCCTGAGAAGGGAGGGTGAAAGGAGATGAAAGAACAGCCCTGTTGCCTGGCTGCAATGAAATGTGAAGGCAAGCGACTGAAATGGGCATGTGGAGGGCAGGGGCTGAGCCAAGGGCCTTGCAACACATGGGCAGCTCAGGGCAGACAGCCCTCAGCCCCTCCATGAACCCACACCTGCACACTCATGCAGAGGAACAGCCCCCTCAGCATCTCCAGCTTCCAAAGGCTCATTTCATCAATGCATTCAATCCTCCTGCCAGCTCTGCCCAGCTCCCAGCTGCCACACAGGAGGCTCCCAGCACAGCTGCCCCATGAATCTGCCCTCCAAACTGCTTCCTAAACAAGACACCAGCACCAGATACCTGTAAAATACCTTCTTAATTTGGTAGTGAAGATGCCACATCAGCTTTCCAGAAGCACTTGGGGATGTTAAACTCACTAGCAAGGGCTGCCAATGCCTGTTTAGGATGAAACTGGAGAGAAGATGAACAGTCTCTCCAAATTCTCTCCAGGCAGCTCGGCAAGGACACAGTGGCGGTGCTCAGGCTTGAGAGGTGCAGGGTTTTGCTTTAAAAGCCATGAAGTGGTTTTATACAGCTCCAGGTACTTGCATATTCCCCCAGGAGGAGCACTTCAGGTCATATGGAAACCAGAAAGTCCTACTTGAAAACAGAGCTTGATTAAAAAGAGCTGCAGTTCAAAGCTTGCTTTAGTGAGCGATGACATTTAATATTGCAGTAAGTGCAGAGGGCAGGAGGATCTGCCATGCACCTGGCTCTGAACCTGCTTTGATAACAGGGGGTTAAGAATAGTTCAGGGGAAAACTTTTAAAGTTCTTCTTTCTGTCAGGAAACCCCGTATAATCTGTGCCCCAGGGCTTCTGAACACAGGACCCGGTGACAAAGTGTGGTGTTACAGCGACCACAGTCACCCTAAAAGCAGAGTCTCTCCTAGAGCTGCCCAAGGTAGGAGCAGCCCAATTCCAAAAGAAGCAGAGCAGGAGCAGCCCCAAGCCCACCTTAGCCCTGTGTAGAAGGACAAGAGGGGGAATTCAAGCCCAATTCCAGCAGGGTTTCAGGTTTTGCTCCCTTGTTTCGGGAGCTCTGCTGCTGCAGGCAAAGCTGAGCCAGGGCACGGCCGCTTCCTCCTGGCACCGGCTCATTCCCCTGAGTTAACACCCACCTTGTTTCAAGGCTAATTACCCAACGCGGGAGCCGGGAACGCATCAGTGTGCACAGCCAGAGCCTCTCGCGTGTCAGGACTGGGTAATTAGCACCTCCCAGCTCACACCGATCCCAATCCCGGCCGCTGGAGTCAGGGCCTGGCTGCTTGTACCAGCCTCGGGCAAAGCTGAAAAAGGGAGAAGGGCTCTGCCAGTGGAAAGCTCCGAGTCCTGTGCCGGTGCTGATTTCCCTTCCAATGGGAAGAGCTACATCCCTGCATGCAGAGGGGCATTGCTCTGCCCAACCGAGCTGCCACAGAACAGGAGAACAGGATGGAAGCGTGAATGTAAACTCCCAGGCTGGAGAAATCCAGCTCTAAGCAAAAGATCCCCAATCCCAGGCAATGTGCACAAACATGATAATGCTTCTAGAAAAAGAAAATATAACAGCACAAAATTATTTCCTTCTGAATTAGGTCTATTTCCACCCTTATGTTTTCCTTCAGCTGGCACAGGAGGTTGGTCTGAAGTCTCAGCAGAAAGAAGAGACTCAGTTATCCCAAACTCCTGCTGGATTCTGCACAGCACATTCCTGCCTTTGGGAGAAGGGACATTTAGTGATGCAACCAAGGCTGTCTCTCTCCTGTGTGCCGAGACCTGCAGCACACAGAGAACCACAGAGGGACAGACAGAGAACGTGCTCCTCTGACAGAGCCAAAGGCAGGAATGGCTGGACACTGGTTAATGGTGTAGGCTGCCAAGGGCTCAGCCCCAGGGCTTTGTCTGAGAACCAGAACTGTAACAAGGCTGAGTCCGCTCCACCCATACCCAAAGTGGGGTGAAGAAAGTCTGTGTCACCATGCAACAGCCTGGAAACTTCCCTTCATATTGCCTCTCCCCCTCACTGCAGAGTTCCAGAGGGGGAGCTGAAATGCTAGAGTCTCTGGAGCTCCATCAGAGCTTTGACTCACTCAGGACAATGTTTGCAGTCACAAACACGAAGCAGGAGAAACCCCAGATGAGCACGAACACAATCCAGAAGCTGTGCCGGAAAGGGGAGAGGTGCTTGTTCACTGTCCCACTGCCGAACACCAGCTGAGTGTCCTTCCGGCTGCAGTACGCCAGGAAAGCTGGGATGAGATACTGGATCCCGTTCCCAGCATAGGCTCCCGTGATCCCCACCAAGGACTCCAGATCGTGGGTGCAGAAAGCCACCAGCACTGGGGGAATCAGCGTGATGGCAGGAAAGACAATCCTGTCCACCACCCACGGGTAGGTGCCCCCCTCTCTGTGGAAAAGGGTCTTCCAGTTGTTGCGCAGGGTCACTGCGATGATGGGGAAATTGGTGCTGATGGTGAAGACCGGGAAGAGGCCCAGGAAGTAGCGAATGAAGGCCACGCTGATGATCTCACAGTTGGTGAAGTTGAGCGTGTACATGTCCATGAGGGTGTCGTTGCGGAAGCAGTAAATGGCAGTGAAGGACAGGAGGCTGTAGAACGCCAGGATCAGGATGTAATCGAGCAGCACGAGCTTGTTGACGTGCTTCTTCTTGGAGATGGGGGTGATGAGGGATGGCAGGGAGTGCTGGCACATGAAGGAGTAGACACAAACCCCGAACAGATTACGGATGCCCGACAGCTGGGCCATGGACGGGTGACCTTCAGCTTGGCCTCTGCTGATGCGGATGAGGGCCAGAATAATCATGAGGATGAAAGCTGGAGAGAGAGAGAAGGTCTCAGGTCAAGCCCAGGCTCCCACTCCTCATGACCTCCTCCCACTGCACTGGCAGTCTTGGCACCAGCTCTCTCCTACTATGCAAGAGCATCTCCTTATCTCTCCAATGCACCACCTTATCTGAGGGTGCTACATTAAAGGTGCACAAGAATTTATCATGATTTGCTGTCAATGCCAGGCAGCAGATAAGGGAAATGGGCTCAGGCATCTCCCTCCAGTCTCCTTCCCACAGAGACTCACCCTCCCACCTCCAAGAGCACAGGGCTGTGCTGAGCCCTTCAGAAGCAGAAGGCTGACATGGCTGGTGAACCCTAAGCCCTCAAGGGTTTCGGTCCATGGATGCTTCTGCCACACACACACACAGGTTAAATACCAGTATTTCAAAAAGGCTTAGAGATGTTTGAGCTCTGACTTGGCTCCAGCCAACCCCAGTAATAGTTCTACAAATTTCCAACTGGACTAATGTTTTCAAGACATCCCCAATGTGCACAGGAGCAGCAGCTATACTAGGAAGCTTTCCTGTCCCTGGGATCTGTCAAGCATGATAGAGCAAGAACTAGCCAGCCATTTCCTGGGCAGGAGGAACAGGCTGTCTGTAGCTAATCCCAGGGTGGAGAAGCCAGTCTGGAAGGGACTAAAGCAGCACTGAAAGACTGCTATTAAAATTCATTGTTTCTAGACACAAAGTCTGCTCGTCTACCCTTCACTTATGTCAGGAAAAAGCCTAACAACATTTTACAAAGCTTATTACAAATAACAACGTGCCAGGGACAAAATGAATTGAGGAGATTGGGCTAATGCCCTTATTACTTTGCGGGTGGAAATTTGAGCCAGAGCAGTTACTGTGAGACTTTCATTCCTAGCATGGCATATAAAAGCAGCAAAAAACTAATTCTGGTGTCACAAAAATTGCATCAACCTGGGAAAGATGATCATCAGCTGCTGGAGTTAACAAGTAATGGGGAGAAAAGGACCTGCCTGGCAGGGCAGCAAGCAGTGAGATTTACAGTCTGGTGCTGCAATGGGTGAGCCACTGTGGCTTGCACAGAGCTGTCCTTGCACCAGTATGAGGCACAGGAACAGAGCTGTGAATTATCAGGTAATGAAAAAATCAACAAAATGCTGAGACAACTACTACAGACAACTTTGAATGTCATTAATATAAATCCAGAGGAATTAAACAGAGCAGTGCAGAGTTCAAGTCCAGGAGGCTGGCACCAGTGCTAGGAGCTGGGCAGGCTCACCATGGGGTGACAAGATCACGGGCTTGCTCTGTGCCCAGTCCTGCTCCCAATAACAGGCGACTCAAGATGGGAAACTCTGCCAGGGATGGAACTAGGGAAAATAGTTACAGACCAGTTGGTGAATGCTGCCTCTTCTTGTGTTCTGAAGATCAGATTAACCTCACAGAATATTGCCTCCTATATACCCCCAGTACTCTCCAAAACCCTCCTTCAGAAATTCACGTTCTCCTGCAGCAAACAACAGCTCCATGCTGCACCCTTCCCAAGCCACACACTGCATTTCATCCTGTGTTGCCTCAGGAAACCTCTTGCTTCCAACTGTTTTCTAGTGGCAGGGCACGTCTACCAGCCCTCCCCAAACACCGCACTGACAGCAGCACATCCATTCCTTCACGGTACCACGAGGCCAGGTCGTTTTGGGAGTGCTGGGCTCTATTTCCTCCCCCAAGGGCAGTCACAGAGAGCTACGGAAGGCAACAGCTCATTGCACTGGGGGTGTGCAATTCCCCTTGCCTTCACTCAAGCCCAGCAGGTGAGGGGCACTGTGAACAGGGGTACAGTTGTTGTGCCTTCCCCACTGCTCCCCAGAGAGGAGGTGCTTGCCAGCCATATCTGCTCAGCAAGAGATGCAGAAAGAGCTGTGTTCCAGGTGATGTGACACTGCTGCACTCCCTGGGGCTGCACAGGCTACAAGCAAGAGGAAAAGATGCCCTGAGTAATAAGACAGCAGGTTGGGCAGTTCTGGAAATGTGCTGAGACTGTACCTTTCCTTCTCACCTGGGAGAGGTGGTCAGGCTCTGCAGCCCCATCCTGAGCTGGTCCTGTGTCTGGGCTAAGACATGACTCAGAAGTCTCACTCCTCTTCCCCTGCACACTAAACAGTGAATCTTCTCATGCTCTGCTCAACACAGTAGCAAGTGACCTATTTCCATCCCCAAACCCACTCTCACCATTGGCTCAAAGCCCCACTTTCTGCACCAGTGCTAACAGGACCAGGTCAGGGGAATTTTCAGGCAGGTACCCCATCCTTGAAGCATTTCCCACAGACTCTCCTCTGCCCTGACTTGTGCTTTTCTGGCAGGGAACACTGAAGGAACAGAATTTTTTTGGATTCCCTAAATGATGGATGGTCTTTGGCTTAAGTAACTAGAATTTAATACATTTGTTTTTCATTAAATATGCATTTCAGAAATTTATTAGAACTACAAGGAGTGAGGATCCAATACTAAGATCCAAACTAGTTTTGCTTCCAACAAGGCAAGCTCTGCTTCCCCTGCCTGAGCGCTGGTGGTCTGCAGATGCAAGATCCTCGAGAGAAATGGTGCTGGGTAAACTGGAAACCTCCCCTATACAATTCCAGCCTCAGAAAGGACAACAAAAGCCCTGCCCCATGGTTGTTTTCCCTCAGTCCCTGAGGCAGAAGAGTTTCTCACTCCTGGAACTGGACAGCTAAAACACTTGCCTGTCAAATTTATCTGTCTGTCCCTGAGAGGAGGCGAGCCAAAAAATGAAACTCTGAAACCTAGATATGATTTGGATGATAAGTCAAAATGAAAAGAAGATGACAGGCTGATGGACAGGCAGCTTTGAGCAGAAAAGAGGCAGCACAGGATCCTCAGGCACACAAAAAGCTCTCACTCACATCCCCTACCCAGGACAGCAGGCTGAAGGCAGAGTCACACGACACTATTTCATGTCACATCAGCAGTCCAACAGTGTTCCTTCACCACATGGGTCCTGGTGAAGTAAGACATGGATTCACAAAGAAACCCTTGATGGGTTCCTCTCCACACAGAACAGAGAACACAAGCAACGTGTTGCAGATATGAAACACCTTCAGCACCCAGAGCCACAAAGCAAGGTCGACAGTGATGGCCCCATGGATGGTTAGTTGGTTACATGAAAAATTTGTTTTAAGCCTTGTTTTATATAAATGCTTAAAAAGCAACCAAGGGTTTTGCTTGTCCTGATTTTTCCACAGTGTTAAATACACTCCAAGCCCCCACACCACAGGCCTGGCAGTTAGCAAGGCACAGAGGCCACTTCTTGTCTCATCTTGTCTCCTCTAGATGTTCAAACATCATTTTTAGTGAAGGATCTAAGGGAGCCTGAGGAAAAAAATAAAGAGGGGCTACGTCATAAAGGAAAATTGTGATGAATCTCATCCCAACCATCCAACTGCCTCTCCTGCAGACTCTCTGCTCTCCTCACTATTTGAAGAACAAATGTTCCTCTCAGATAAAGCAGACCTTGCAGTCAGCTACTGCTGCCTCTCCTGCTTGACTCAGGAGATGTTGATTCAGAGACAGGGAAGTTCTGCTCTGGTTCTTGCAGGTGAAGTAAGGATGAATATGGATGAGCAGACGTCCAAAGTAGTACAGTTTGGGAAATATGGGAGTCTGGGGATATTAAGAAATACATTTTTGTGCATTTTGATAGAAACATAACAGAGCTGCAGAGAAGCAGTGAAGATAATCTAGCCATTCTGAGTTTAAGGATCGTTTTACAGAGTCAGAGAAAACACCTCTGTAAATGAAAAATGGTGTTTGTACATGAGCTTCATCTCTCTGCAGAAAGGCTATTGCAGAACAGAAAATAAGTCCAAGCCTCAGACACATTTTTTTCCCCTGTCATGGTAGGTTCCTGCAAGATCAGATACTCAGAATGAGCTGCTGATTTAACTCCCCCTTGCATCCCTGCAAGACATGGTATTTGCGAGACGTTCACATCTTCTCCAGCCCTGTCCCTACTCCCGTTCCTCCTTCTACAAGGAAAGCCTGGAGAGAACATCACCACATGTGCCTGCCACCCCTTGCAGGGAGCAGAGAGGCAGTGGTGTGCAGCCACCCCACGCCTGGCTGCTCCCCTACCCCCCAGCCATTTGTCTGAGCTGGTGCCATGACACGTTTGTGGCAGGGCCATCCGTCACTGCAGCTGAGGGTGTGACAGAGCTTTCCTGTCCAAGCAGAGAATCAATATGCCAGGAAATAATGATAATGGATCACCCTATCCCAACACACACCACTTCCTTCCCTTTTCGTACATTAAGCAGCATGATGGATTCCAAGAGGAAGATGTTTTCAGGAGCTTCCTAAACTCAGTCTCTTTGGAAAGGAGAAGATTTCTCCCCACCTCAATCCTGTATTGAGTCAAAACACAGCAGGCCACTCTTAAACAGAGGAGCAGATCTCATTTAGTTTAACATTAGGCAGCTCTGTCATAGAAAGGGTACAAAAACAGAAGCATCTGCTCTGTACACACTGAACGGGCCAGGAACACGTCAAGACAGTCCTACCTTCTGCATCCCCACCTGACACTTGTGCTGTCTACTTCCCTGCTGATGTCTTTCTAGGATGTTGGTGCCCCTTCTCAGAGCCAGCTGCCTTCCAGCAGTGATGTGGGCAAGCTGAAGAGCCCACTGCAACTCTGCAACCACCAGGCATTCTGGATCCTGTGGCATTTGAAGTATTAAAGCACAGCTGGAGTCCAACATGCTGGCAGGACAAAGTATCTGAAATTAAGACATTGATTTTTAAATTTAAAACTCATTTAGCTAGTTTCTCTTGCAGAAGCTATATCCTGCCACTTGTTCATGACCTCCAGCTCTCCACAAACTCCAGAACAGCAAGTGATTAACTTCCCCAACCTTCGGGGGGGTTTCTATATGAATTGACAGTAAAGAGGTAACATGAAAACCAGGTTTTGCTCCATTAGATATGGGAGCTGGAGTAGTTAAG